GGCGATGCTGATGGTGATGCTGCTGCAGCGGATGACGCTACAGCAGGTGTGACAGCAGCTGCTGGCACAGGGCTGAGCGCGGTAGGCATCGCAGCAGCACTGCCTTCTGCTGCTTGCGTTGACCCCTCTCCTGTCTCAAGCAACTCTGCCTTGCCGCCTTCTTCCTCCTCCTTCTCCCATCCCTCATCTGCTTCGTCGTGATCTCTACTCCCCGCCTGCTTTGCCTCCCTTGTCTCCTTCAGAGCCATCGCTATATCCTCCTCACTTAGCCCCACGTGTCTTTGTTCCACCTCTCTTTCCTCCTCATCTCTCCCCTCCTCGGTCCCCTCCTCTCTCCCCACCTCCAATTCCGCACTTCTTGCTGTGTCTACGGCACCCACAGTTCCACCGATTTGGTCACTATCGGCAACAGCCGCATCGGATTCACCAGCAGCAGCAGCAGCAGCAGCAGCAGCAGTCATGGCGGTGGGGGTGGTGACCACATCAGGGGAGGGATCAGAAGGCGGGGAAGCACTGTCGACACTAGGGGAAACGCCCTGCATACCCTCATAAATGCCAGGAGGAACCCCAGCAGCAACCACTGGGGGATCACAAGGCGTGGGCGTTGGGGCAACTACAGGGCTGCTTGTCACAGAGGGGTATGCAGAGGCAGGCGCGGAACCAGAGGCAGAGGCAGAGGCAGAGGCAGAGGCAGAGGCAGAGTGAGACGCAGGTTGAGATGCGGAGGTACTGTTACTCCCTGCGCCCATGCTCCTACGCGTGGCAACAGCAGCAGCAGCAGCGGCAGCGGCAGCGGCAGCAGTCGCAGGTGTTGCGCGAGTGGCAGAGCCAGCAGCAGAGGCAGCAGTAGGGGCGGCAGTAGGGGCAGTGAAGGTGGGGGAGGAGGTGAGGGAGGCGAGGTGGGAGCGGAGGTTGGCAGCACGTCTGGCAAGAGAGGCGGCAGTGGGAGCGACGACAGAGCTTGAAGGGGGGGAATAGGAGGAGGCAGTTGTGTTGAAGCTCACACTGCTGCCAAAGGCTATGCGCCTCCGGGCACTTGCACTCGGATTGGCTGCTGCCACTGACGCCGATGCTGGTGAGGCCACTGACGCTGATGCTGCCAGTGATGGGGATGCGAATGCTGCTGTTGAGCCCACACGACCAGGGCTTATTCGTCCCCCGCCCCCGCCTGCACTCCCTGCTCTCTCACGCTCACCTACTCGTCCCCCGCCCACACCTCCTGCTTTCTCTTCCGCCTTCCCCCCTGCTGCGCCATTTCGTCTCAAAGGACTGCCCCCCGCCCTCCTGGCTGCGCCTCTCACACCCGCCCCACCTGCTCCGCCCCCACCACCCGCATCTCCCATGCCACCCACCCCATCAGCTCTCCCCCCTGCCTTCCCCACTGCTGCTCCTAGTGCTGCGTCCCTCCTTCCACTCGGACTCGCCACGCGCCCACTCCCCTTGCCCCCAACCGCTGCTCTCTCCGCACTCTGCCCCACGCCAGTTGCTCGCATTCCCCCCAAAGCTCCCCCCTGCACTCCCCCTTGTGCTCCCCCCTGCGCCCCTGCCCTTCCCCTGATGCCCAACCACCCAGGATCACTCCACCGCCCAGTCACAGCTATGCTGTGCCGCTCAAGAGACAGGGACCCCATTCCGCCCAGCGCCCCGCCCCCTGCCTTCCTGCCCGCTAATTCCGGGCTGTAACTGCTGGTCAGCGGGCCAATCCCGCTCGCCCAATCCGGTCGTTTGACGCTGCCCAAGCTGCCCGGACTGCCTCTTCTGGCAGGGCTGTCAGGCTTGCCTCTGCTGCCCGGACTGCCCGTGCTTGCCCTCCTTCTCTCCTCTGAAGGCGACCGGCCAACCACCCCCTGCGCCCCTCTTGTTCCCCCTCCTCCGCTTCCCCCTCCCCCTGCTGCCGTCCCCCTGGTGCCAGGGCCTGAGCGTGTGGGGGAGGCGAAGGCAGCGGAAGGGCGAGGGCTCTGCTGGCGGACTTGCATCCGCCCCGACACCCCCCCTACCCTTCCCCCTGCCCCTCCCCGTCCTCCCGCTCCCCCCGCCTCGCCCGTCTGTACCTGCGCCCCCACTCCACTTCCCACCTGCGCCTTTCCAATCACTGCTCTCCCCTTGTCACTCGGTTTACCACCACCAATACCGCTCCAGCTACCCCTATCGCTCGCACTAACTCCTAAGCTCCCATTCGCACCATTACTTCCCATGCCACTCCTCTTGATGTCTTTCAAACCGACCCTAATCTCCCCGAACCTGTTCGCTGCACTGCTCTCCTCACTCCCACTCTTTCCTTGCCCTCGCTTCCCTTCGTCTGCATCTATCGCATCAGTTGCCTCCCTTACGCCCTCCGCACGCTCCGTCCCGACCCACTCTCCGCTCCCGTTTGCCAATCCTCCTGTGGACGGTTCTTCCGCCGTCAATTCAGCGGTGAGTGAACCTACTGACGGCCGTGTTGACTCAGCACTCAGCTCCTCCCTTTGCGGCGCCAATTCAGTCGTCGCCGCCGCTACACGCGTTCCATTTGCTGCTTCCCCCCTTCCGCCACCTACGCCGCCAGTCCCGCTCTGCTCCGCGCAAACTTCCGATTGCGCAGCTACCCTCACGCTCTGCTCCCCCGCGTCGCGCAACCCGTTAGCTCGCGCAATATTTAGCTGGAGCTCCCTCCCCTCGTCCGCAGCGCTTAGACTGACAGCTCCGCCGTCAATGTCGCTCGCGGAACGCGATGCCTCGTTACCCGGTCTATCAAAGCTTTCACTATCGCCGTTACTACGGTCTACCGAGCCGTTGACTTCCAACGCGCCGTTGCCTAACGAGCCGTTAAGGTTCGACGCGCCGTTGGCCTGCGACGCGCGATTGGTCCGCGCGCCGTTGCTCGCATCGCTGCTTTGGCCGTCTCTTCTACCGGCGATACCACCGCTGAAACCGCCGTTAACGGCGGTGCTCTCGAGATGACTCGTAGTAAGGTCGCCGCCTCGAATGGCGGTACCGCTGAGGTCAGTGAGAAGTTCGTCGTCTCGAATGGCGGCGGTACTCCCGAGGTCAGTGAGAAGGTCGTCGTCTGAGAGCTGACCCGCGTCGTCGAAAGCCGGGCCCAGACTCCATCGCTTGCCCTCACCGTCGGAATCTAACTCCCAGTCGGCATCCATGGTCACCTCTATACGCACTCCAACATGTTACATTACAACAGAAAGTTGGTGTGAGTTGAGCTCTTGGGGTGAGCTAGCAATCTGAAATGCCTGTGCCAATGTCTGTCTCGAGCATGTGAGCTTTCAGGAATTGAACGGATGGTGCTTTGCTTGAGCAAGCTGAGCAGGAATGGAATGTTGAGGGCGTGTCTTATGAGCTCATCTGATTACGGTGGAATGGGATTTTGTGTGTGTCAGAACGGTTTGTTTTTGTTCTTTGCGTTTCGGTAGGGTTTCGAGCAAAATTAAATACATATGAAAGCCCTGAGCAGCAGGACCCAGCAATTCTCGAGGGGGTTGAGCAATTTTCGAGGAGGTTTACGGGATGGACTCCAGGGAGTTTGCGCAATTTTCAAGGGGTCCGCCCTGCCCTCCAACACAGCAGCTCACCCTTCAGTGTCAGTTTTCCGTACAATGTTACGGGCAGCGAGCGCCAATGAAATTGATGATGCCTGTCACGAACCTGACAATCACAGGTCGCAAAATTTGACCGTCAACAATAACTGGAGAAATGTTCTGCTGAATGTCATTTGGGGGTATGAGGAGGTTGCACAATGACAACGCTTCGGTTGAAACAGGCTTCATTGTAGGGAGTAGGGAATGGGTTTTGAAACATATGGTCTAGCAATATGCTGCATATATTGTATGGAGTTTGCGTGGACGTGTATTGTTTTATGTCGAGTACACGGACCTGATTCCACCACGACTGCACAATTACTCGCATCCCGCCGTTCGTATTGCCACGCGGGGAGCATCTGTTGCGAGCGACTGAACTCGGGCGCTGAAGTGAGTGCTCAGAGCCGTGCAACCAGCTGAGCATTCCCAAGGCGCCTAAATTCGCGCGGGAAGTGCCTTGGTGCGAGCGTTGTACGCTTGACCAGCGCTTCGCACTGTGGTCCCCAAGCTCAGCCCAGACCAGCACGCTGGGACTGGTGGCTCGGGTTTGGCGCAGTCGGGCACTCAAAGCGTGTTCCCCATACCACGCTTGGGGGGGACCGCATGGGCTCGCTGTCGTCGTCGTCAGTTTGCCCGCGCGTCAAACCAACTGCTCTGATTGCGAACTTCCGGACCTCATGTAATTCACCGAACCCCCATGTTCCGAGCCTCAGGTCCGTCCAACCATCCAATCAAGTTGTTCTGTTCTGGGACAACTGTTGGTAGGACATTTCAGAACAATTGTCTCCCCAGAACATCAGGCGGGTGTGGTGGCGGTGAGAACGCACACCTGGGTTTGGCACAAGAACTTTGAATGCCAATGTTTGTGTATGGTTCTACACGTTTAAAAGGATTCAAGTGAATACTAGAGCGGTTTAGCAGATAGCGATGTGCTAGGGAGGGATTGTTTCTGAAAATGCTTATCTTCTGTGAATCGACGAAGGCTGAGGCGTACCAGGAGAGCTTAGGAGAGTCAGGAGCTTCTGTTGAATGACGCATATTCCTTGATTTCGCTAAGTGCCATTGAGCTAAATTGCCTCACGCCACAGCGTGTTGTGTGGCTGTCCTCTTTCAATAGGTAATTAATTGGCGGTAGACGGTTTACACGTAAACATTGTCTCCAGTGTCTCAGGGAATATCCTGATCGGAACCCATTAGCCAGACGAGCCGTTACAAGCGAAGCCACCGTTGCGCGGCTTCCCTAGTTCCCTCTGCAAGTGTCCTCAGAGATGTCTCAGTGTTTCCTAAATTCGTTGTAAACTTGGAACCAGCTCTAGTCTAATCCCCTGGTTATTTGTCGCGATTTAAGTTGACGACGCAATGAAGCCAGAAAGATCGCTGTGTTGCGATTGGCTGTCATGCTCGCTAGCGTGGGTATGGAACCATCCGCGAATGAAGAATTTCCGCAAGGTCGCGTATAACTTCAAGATGACGCTCGTGTGTGGCTTCATCACCTTCCTCGTCTTCCGCGGCACCTTCGGCGCCGGCAAGTTCGGCACGCCGTTTCAGGACGCCGAGATTCTCAACCGCGAGCTCCGGTCCTTCCAAGAGAAGCGCCTCCTCAAGGTTCGTGACGGTCGTATCGGTCGCATCGTGTTAGGAATGCGATGCCGCGTGGTGCGTGGACCATTATCTTTCAGAAAACCCTGTGGAGACGCGACGCGGATGAGTGGTTACGATAGTGCGCTGACCTTTGATGGATCGACGGGTACGACTAGGCAGTTACCATTCATGATTCGACGGCTACGATTGTACATCTACCTTTCGTGGTCCGACAGGTGATTAGGCCTCGTTTCGTGCTTCGCATTGCGCATTCATCTTAATAGAGCGAATTGTACCGGAAATTGACTGAAGGCTCTCGTCAGATCGCTGACTCTGGTCATTACCGACGCAATCACAGAGACTCATCCTGCGATTGGAAGTGTGGGACAACGGCGATAGCCAACCTTATTTCTATCGTGAGATGATTGATTCGGGATCTAATACTTGTAGAGTCTTGTAATTGTAACCGTAACGGCTACAGCCTCTTCTGTCGCATTCTGCGTTTCTCCCGTTCGCATCGCGATGCTGACGCGTTAGTTTTCTCGCCCCTCTCCACGCATAGTGCCACGCAGTACAGTTGACTAGTAATTACAACCGCTTGCAGGGTCCACAGTATGCCTTTATCTCATGTTTTCACGATCGTTTTAAAGGGAGGGTTCTGCAAGTTTATTGCCGGCGAAATCGCTAGTGTACTCCTTCAAGCTGGATTTCCGAGTCGGTGGGCCTGTTTGCGTGAGCTGAATTCCTCGTGCTTTTAGGCGTGTTGCAGTGTTTCAAGAACAGATGACAAGAACAGATGGCAGAACGGCCGTTCGAGCCAGTCGCTTCTGGTCTCCCGTCCTTCCGTTCTTTTCCTCTCCTCTGGTCTTTCTTCTTCACCCCCACCGTCTCTTCTTGCTACGTCGTTCCCTCTTGTGTTGATTCCTCGGGTTTCCACTTTCATTTCTTTGCCCCGCTGCAGCTCCGGATTTCTTTAGTCGTCTCAAATGTAATTTTCCCCTGTCCCCTGTCCCCTGCTCCCGCTGCCACGTGGCAGTCGCGGGAGAGCCAGCTGCTCTTCCTGCAGGACAAAATGGCGGACCGAAATTAAATAATATTTAGTACTTTCAAATGTTATCCTCCCCTGTCCCCTGCCCTTCCTCCCACGTGGCAGTCGCGGGAGAGCCAGCTGCTCTTCCTGCAGGACAAGATGGCGGACCGCAACTCGCCGTACCGCGCCGGGCCCAACATCACAGGTACGACCGTGACTTCCAGCTTCTGAGTCGTCTGAAAAGATCACATCCGACCGTGGCTGCTTCCTCCTGCTGCAGCCCTTGGAGATTCAGTCTGTGCCGAACCTCCCCTCCCCTCGGGTCTGGCCCCGATCCTCCTATTCCCCCGCGATACCCCGCCATGCTCCTTCCCAACCCCCTTCCCCTTTCCCCCTCCACCCTCTCCTTTTCACCGCCTTCTTCTCCCCCGCGTCGAGCGCATAGCGTTCTCCCACTTCCGCCTCGACCCACAATAATCCCCCCCTTCCTTTCCCCTCTCCGCACCCCCAATCCCCCCTCCCCTTTTCCCTTCCTCCCCCGCTGCCCGGGATTCTCCCCTGCCGGAACCCACAGACTGGGACGAGCAGCGCGCCGAGCACATAGCCTTGAATCCCGGGTGCAACGCCACCAGTGACGGGCGGCCACGTGTCATGATCGTGTCGACCTCCCAGCCGAAGCCGTGCGAGCACAGCGTGGGCGACCACTTCCAGCTCTTGTTCCTTAAATCGAAGATGGACTATGCGCGTACGCACGGCATGGTGGTATACCATCACATGGTTCGGCTGGACAAGGAGATGAACGGCATGTGGGAGAAGCTGCCGCTGCTGCGCCGCCTCATGCTCGCGCACCCCGATATAGAGTGGTTCTGGTGGATCGACTCGGACTCCATTATAACGGGTACGGTGGATCGTGGGCGGGAAAGGAATGGGGTGAGGGGCAGGGGGAGGGGTTGGAGGGAAGTGGCTGGAAACAGGGGCTTGTGTGATAGCAGATAGGGGGAGACGTGGTCGTTACCTCACTACAATGCTTGCAGATGAGTCAAACCCCAAGCCTCCTCCTCCATTCCTCCCCCCTCGCCCTCCCCCTGCCCCTCCCCCTCCCTCCTCCCCCTCCCCCTCCCCCTTCCCCCCCCCCCCCTCGAAACACCGAATGTGCTTAGCCCATCATTCCCCCAAGTCCCCGCTTCCCCCCCTCCCCCGCCTCTCCCCTTTCCCCTCCCGCTGCGCGCGCAGACATGAAGTTCGAGCTGCCGTGGCGCAAGTACAAGGACGTTAGCATGGTGGTGCCGGGGTCGAAACGTCGAATCTAAAAACCTCATTATCCCCTCACTCCCTCTCCCCTTTCCCCTCCCCTTCCCCCTCCCCCGTACTGTGCGCAGACATGAAGTTCGAGCTGCCGTGGCGCAAGTACAAGGACGTTAGCATGGTGGTGCCGGGGTGGGACGATCTCGTGTACAAGCACCGCGACTGGTGAGCCGCGTGGGTGATAAAAGTAGAGCAATGTGACTGGTGAGCCGCGTAGGGGGAGAGGGGGAGAGCACCGCGAATGACGAGATGGCGCAAGTACAAGGGCGTGAGCATGGTGGTGCCAAGGTGGGACGATCTCGTGTACAAGCACCGCGACTGGTGAGTCAATTGGGGGAAGAGAGGACGAGAAGAAGGGGTATGCGGGTATGAGTTGCCGCAAGTACAAGGACGTTAGCATGGTGGTGCCGGGGTGGGACGACCTCGTGTATAAGTACCGCGACTGGTGAGTGCAGGAAGTGGCGGAGAGAGCGCAGGATGGGTGAGCGCAGGGATTGGTGCGCGCAGGGATTGGTGCGCGCAGGGATTGGTGCGCGCAGGGATTGGTGCGCGCAGGGATTGGTGCGCGCAGGGACTGGCACGCTTGAGAGAATAGGGAGGGATAGAGAGTGGGAGCTTGTAACCATTTCCACATGGCCGCTTTAGAGTCCACTCATATGTAACCTCTCACCCTCCTCCGCATTGCCCCTTCGTGTTCCCCCCTCCAACTTCCCCCGTCCCCCCATGCCGCAGGGTGGGCCTCAGCACTGGAAGCTTCCTCCTGCGCAACAACCAGGTGGGTCCGCCCTTCTGCCCCTCGTGCTGCACCTCCCTCTGCCCCTCCCTCTACCCTTCCCTCTCCGCATTCCCTCTGCACCGCCCCCTGTACCTCCCTCTGCACCACCCCCTCCGTTCCTCCTGCAATCGCCGTCTGCTCCGCCCTCTCCGCTTCGTTACTGCCAGCCTGCTAACTCCCTTGCGCACGCGTCCCTTTGTTGCTGCTCCCTGCTCTGCGACTTCCAGTTCTGCCTTTGTCTTTGTGTCTCACTGCTTTGTGAGCTGCTTTTTTGCTCACATCGCTCATCTTATGCTCATCTTCTTTTCTCGCCCTATTCAACCCGCGCAGTGCTCGCTTGATCTGCCCGCCAAGTGGGCCGCCATGGGCGCCATTCTCTCTGCATCACCCCCGCCACTTACCCCTCTCCCCCCCTTCCCATTCCCCTGCTCGTCCCCCTCTCCCCCTCCCCCCTCTCCCCTCCTGTGCAGTGGTCGCTTGATCTGCTGGCCAAGTGGGCCGCCATGGGCGCGAGGGGCAGAGCCAGGGAGGAGGCGGGGCGAGTGCTGACGGCGCAGCTCAAGGTGTGTTAGGGCGTGTGTTGCGTAGAGCAGAGAGGGAGCAGAAATCACAGGGAATGTGGGGTTGTGGGCGCGAGGGGGCGGACTAGGGAGGATGCGCACAGAGTGCTGACGGCGGAGCTCAAGGTGCGTTGAGGCGCTGGTGATCAGTCAGTGCTGGTGTGGCCGGTGGTGTGCCAGTCACTAGTGGTGTGCCAGGGCGGTTCTTTCTTTCTCTTACCCATGCCCTCCCCATCTCTCCTCGCTACTCTCACCTTGCAGGGTCGCCCGGAGTTTGAGGCAGATGACCAGTCGGCGCTGGTGTGGCTGCTGGTGTGCCAGCTACAGTGTCGTCTCTTACCCCTTGTCTTCTCCTCTCTCATGTCTCTCTTCACTTCTCCCAGGGTCGCCCGGAGTTTGAGGCAGACGATCAGTCAGCGCTGGTGTGGCTGCTGGTGAGCGGGAGGGAGCAGTGGGGCAGGCACGTGCACCTGGAGAGCAAGTTTTACCTGCACGGCTACTGGGTCAACCTGGTCAACAGGTGCGTTGACCTGGTCAACGGGCGGTCAACAGGTGGCCTCACCTGGTCAACGGATGGGTTCACCTGGTCAACGGGTGGGTTTCACCTGGCTCCGGCGGTGACCGGTGGCCGTTTGTGACTCACTTTGTGGGATTCAAACCGGGTGGCAGCATGGGGCGAAGGGGGAGGTTCCCTTGTCTCATTCGTTTCTCCTCCCCCATTCCTCTTCGTTGTCCTCCTCGTCCTTCCCCTAATCTCTTTCCTCCCCCAGGTTCGAGGAGATGGAGTGGTTCCATCCCGGCTTTGGTGGCAACTTGTGGCCGTTCAATCTCTCGTTTTCCTGCACTCATCACCCTTGTCTCCCCTCGTCCCCTTCGCTCTTTACTCCCCCAGGTTCGAGGAGATGATGGAGCGATTTCACGCTGGTTTCGGCGACGATCGGTGGCCGTTTGTGACTCACTTCGTGGGATGCAAGCCGTGCGGCAGCATGGGTGAATACGACGCAGCCAAGTGCCTCGTGCACATGAAACGCGCGTTTGTGTTCGCTGACAACCAGGTGATCAAGCCGTACGGGTTCACGCACCTGCACCTGAACAGCAGTGTTGTTGTGCCGTTGGTTAATGTGACCACGCGGGCGTGGATAGCTGAGACGCACTACGAGAGGAAGCAGCAGCAGGTGGCGGAAAAGAGGAAAAAGCAGGCTGAGGAGAAGGAGAGGCTGGAGCAGGAGGCGAAGAGAATGGCCGAGGAGCAGGAGAAGTGGAGGGAGGAGGAGGAGAAGAGGAGGAAGGAGGAGGAGGCGTGGCGGGAGAAGGAGGAGGAGAGGCAGAGGAAGATTGAGGAGGGGAAGAGAGTGGAGGAGGCAAAGAGGGCCGCTGAGAAGGAAGCGAAGAAAAAGAAGCAGGAGGGGCAGGAGGGGAAGGTTGGGGAGGTTGCAGCAGGTGGGGCGGAACAGGGGGCGAAGGGAGGAAAGGGTAAATCTGTTGTTACTGTAAAGAATGTGACTGTACCGATTGGGAAGAAGGGTATTCCGGAGATTATAGTGGATGAGGAGGAGGAGGAGGAGGAGGATGAGGAGGAGGAGAGTGTGCAGGACAGGAGGAAGATTGGGCTGACTAAGGCTGTTATGAGACAGCAGCGGGCTGCTATGGCCAGGGCTGTGGTTGCTGCTAGTGCTGAGGACGAGGAGGAACGGGTGGAGGAGGAGAGAGGGGGTGTGGAGAAGGGGAGTGAGAAGGGGAGTGAGAAGGGGAGCGAGAAGGGGAGTGAGAAGGGGAGCGAGAAGGGGAGTGAGGAGGAGAGTGGGAGGAAGGAAGAGGAGGGTGAGGATGAGGAGGAGGAGGAAGAGGAGAGGTTGGACAGGGAGAGGGAGAGGAGAAAGAGTGCAGAAGGGGAGGAGGGAGTGGTGGGGGAAGTGGGAGGGCTTGATGTGAGTGATGATGGTGGTGCGGCAGAGGAGAGTGGTGAGGAGAGTGGTGAGGAGAGTGAGGGGGGAGATGAGAAGGTACGAGGCGAGGAGAGGGGTGTTGAATTGAGAGCAGGGCGTGAGGAGGGAGAGGAGGCAGAGGGGGAGGATGGTGCGACAGTAGAGGATGCAGAGGAGATGGGCGGTTTGAGAGAGGCTGAGGAAGAGGAGCGGGGTGGTGTGGGGGGTGAGGATGTGGAATGATGGCATTAGTGGGGTAGGTGGGATGTGTGTTGTGAGTGGTGATAGTTTCGTCCAGCCAAGCAAGAAAAGCTTAGTCAGGACAGTAGGCAACAGAGCAAAAGACCAGCAGGGAGACAGGACAGTGGGGCAACAGGGCGGCAGAATACTGGTGCTGTGGATGATCAGGCCGTTGCTGTTGCTTTCAGCATTCGGTGCAAAGTGGTGGTGATAGGTGATTAGGCAGGTATTGGTAGTGTTTGCCCTAGCACACATCAGTTCCACGGAAGTGGATGTACAGTAGGTAGCCTCTGTTTCGCCTAAATAAACATTTTGAGGCATTCATTCGTGCTGTTACATCCTTTTATTTCTTATTTTTTGTAGACATCACCCAACCCAAAGTCGGTTAGGATATGCTCATACCGTATTCCAACGGACATACCACCCGCCGAAATAGAGCACCCCCCGGGTGGCTTGTGCGGGGGGGGTGCTATAGCGGGCCTCGTTTCTACTATACCCCCCTTTTGGGGCGATCCGTTATAGGGGGGGGGGGGGGGGGGGGGGGGGGGTGTTATGTACGGGTAATATTGCAGTTTTTTGCCAAAATAGCACTGGGTTTCGAATGATTAACCATCTACATGTTAAGGTTAGCACAAACAAGCTACATCTGACGCAATACAGCGATAACTCTCCCATCATACAGTCATTCCTTCATTCAACAGGGGCCTACTACCATCCAGACCGAACGCTCTCTACCTACACAAATATTCAAACAATCCTCCTACTCCTCGTCCCCAGCATGCCATTCCTCAACCTCCTCTCCGTCAAAGCGGTCGGGGAGCCACCAGTCAGAGCCGGCCTCGCTCCACTCATCTGCATCCCCATCTTCTCCAGCTCCGTACCCTTCCCCATCTCCGTCTTCCACTTCCGCATCCTCTTCGTCCTGCTCCACATGCATGGCGTCGTCGTCCGCCTGCAGCACCTCGGCCGGCACGCGGGCCTCTTCGAAGTAGGGGTTGGGGATAACCTCGTCTTCAACCACCTCGTTCACATCCTCCAGCACTTCCACCTCACCCTTGTCCCGCAGGTGTGCGAGGACGAGGTGGTCTTCGCTCTCGTCGAGCTTGGTGGAAATCCCGCAGGTGACAAAGGACTTCCTGATCAGCTCCTCTGGGACCTCCCGCCAGGATTCGTCGATCCACTTCAGAACCGTCTCCGCGGGAGGCTTTTGCAGATTGCCTGAGGGATGGGCAAGGCACGCACCGAGTTGTTTGATGAAATACACTGGCACTCATGCACAAAAACACGATCGGAAAGCACGGGACGCTCTCACCTGCACGCGTCCTCGTGTTGATCCCGATGTCTTCAAACCAAGTGCCATAGCGGTGACGCGTACCGGCCTTGAACGCGCGATTCACGGACACGTCTAGCGGCTGCAGAAGTGGGGTGCACCCCCCCGGGATGACCGCCCGCGTCAGACGGAACATTCGCATGGTTTGACCCACGGCTTCGATCAAATGGCCGCGGTAGGAGTCCAGGACGACCAACGCCTCCCTGCGGCGTCCGGCTACTTCGCGGATGGGCTTCAGGAAAGGCACTAGTACCTAGGTTATCCAGTCCTGCACAAGGCCTTCGTCCATCCACCCCTTCTCTTGTGCACGGACGACCACACCTGCCGTTCACAACGCAAAGAGAGCGCGTGGTTAGAGGGAGTAATGAATACAACAACTAGTGTGAAGAATGAAACAGCTGGATACTTACCAGCCGGGATGGGCACTTTGGGGATGGTTTTGCGTTTGAAAACGACATATGGTGGAAGCTTCAGCCCTCCCGCCGTCACTGCCAGCATGACAGTGACGCGTTCCTTCTCGTAGCCCGCAGTGCGCACGTGGACCGTCCGCGCACCCTTCGTTTCGATTGTACGCTCGGCCGGCATCTCCAAAAATAGCGAAGTCTGATCCGCGTTCACGATCAGGTCGAGCGGGTAGTCGTGGAGGGTGCGCATCCGCATCAGGAACTCCCAGAAGGATTCAACCTTAGCCTTGCAATCTGCACGCACAAAAAAACACTGACAAAACATTAAGAGCAAGCACAGCCCAGATAGAGATGCATCCATTCAAGGACAACTTACCTGCAGCTAACTTCTGGCCCATCTTCGTCTTCACCCGTCGAGCCAGGTGCCAGCGAGCGCGGAAACGAGCAGTCTAGCGGTGTGAAGCGCGCCAATTCACGCCAGGCATCCGATGCTTCATGAACTTGGCGCTCCACTGCTGCAGCATGCTGACCGAGACGGCGAGTCCCTTAGCGCGGTGCTTAAGAAACTGCCGATACATGGCCCGTTCCATGAACGGGTACTTCGCGCGGCGCCCAGCTCCCATGAGGCGACGGCGGCATCCAGAGGCGACCTCCAGACGCTCCCTCATCCGCTTCCACTCGCGGATCTGGCAGGGCTGCACCTTCGCCAGCTTGGACAAAGCTCCATTCGACAGGTCCGGCTGCGATTCCTGCAGTTTCAGCCAGTGGAGCTTCTCCTTGGCGGTGTACGCATGACGAGTGCGTTTCGTCATGCGATGACGTGGGGAAGGAGCGTCGGCATCCGCGTTGCGCTTCGGAGGTCCCTGGGGGCGTGTTTGTTCCGGGAAGGAAGGAATCTTCACCTTCGGCAGCGCCGGCAGAGGACGGGCCGCGCTGCTGCTCGGTTCATCGTTGGTGGAGCGACTCACGGGGGGTGACGGCTGCGGGAGGATGGGCCGGGGCGAACGTCGTGTGCCTGCAACAGCGGGTGACTGGGTGACGGAAGGCCGCTGCTGCCTAACCACTGTGCTACTGGAGTCTGGAGAGGTAGCCATCTAAGCCTAGTGAAAGCTGGTGTCACAGGCCATTGAAGGTGAATTTATGCTAGGAAAGGGATCGACGAGGCAGGTGGTGTTAGCACACTCTGCCGAGCATTGCTCGAGTTCGTGGAATGGAGACGCTGCTCAGAAAGAAGGATCAACTCCTTCTCAGTACAAGGACGTGACCGCCCCAGCGAGGCAGCTGAGGCTGTTGCGGGCGCTCCGCCTTTGTGACTGCATGAACCCTCGTCGAGCAACGAGGGGGTGTGTTTTCGACCAATCAGGGCCTGACAGTGGGCCTTGTTGGAGCTTGCAATGTGGCAGCTAACCCTCGACAGTAACGTTATCGCCCAGTCCTCGGTTTTGCGCACCCAACCAACAATCTACCACCACGTGAAACATGTACATTTTGTTCTCAACCTTTTATGCTATAAAAAAAATATACATTATGTAAAGACCCGGGTGCAATGTAGCTTTTTCCGATGACAACACCCCCCCCCCCCTTTTTTTTGTGTAGTTATCATAGCACCCTAGGGTGGTATGTCCGGGGGAATACGGTACGTAGGGCATGTTCCTTCGCCTCGTATCAATCGAACCTCATATCAGGCTCACACTGAAAATTCCCCTAAACCCAAAATCCTTCGCTAGTTTTACAAGGCAAGACGGATATGAGGTTGCTTGATATGAGGCGTAGGAACATGACAAATGTTGTAGCCTTTAGTGATGCGTGTCATATTTGGTACAGCAGTTAGGGTAGGTTCATGTACCTCAACCCACAATAGTCCATCATCATTCGGTTTCTGACATGGTATCACCACAGTGTTCCCTCTAGCGAAGAAGTCCGAGGTGACTTCTACGCTGATCCGGTGGTTACTTACCACTGCGGACACTCGTGGTCATCGTGTCAGCTGTCTTCACTCCGACCGCGGGGGTGAGTTTCGCTCCGGCGTTCTCGCTGGATTCTGTCGCGAGCAGGGCATCCGTCAGTCCTGGACGCTTCCAGAGTCCCCACAGCAGAATGGGGTTGCGGGGCGCCGCATAGGCTCAGTCATGGAGATCGTCCGCACCTCCATGACTTACGCTCGTGCCCCCCATTTTCTGTGGCCCTACGCAGTTCGGTACGCCGCTCACCAGCTGAACCTCTGGCCACGTGTCTCTCGGCCAGAGGTTTCACCGACCAGTCTTTGGACCGGGTCCCCTTGTGCTGCGTCGCGGTTTCGTGTCTGGGGCTGCTTGGCGCTTGTTCGCGACACCTCCGCGGACAAGCTCTCCCCTCGCGCCCTTCCCTGTGTCTTCCTTGGTTTCCCAGAGGACTCCTCTGACTTCACCTTTTACCACCCTCTCCTTCACCGTTTTTTTTTACTCCCGCGACGTCCGTTTCGACAAGTCAGTCCCCTACTACGTCCGGTACCCCTGTCGAGGTCTCCCGGTTCCTCCTCCCCCTCTCTTCCTGACTCCCGCTCCCCTTCCTGCTCCTCCGGTACAGCCTCCCCCCCCTAGTCCAGCCCTGTCAGGTGTGTCCCACGCTACTCCCCCCCCCCTCCCTCGGTAGCCCCTCAGGTGCCCTCCCCTCCCCACAGTCCTCCTCACAGCCTACTACAGACCCTGCGGGAGCTGGTGTTCGTGTCGAGGACCCTCGAGGTGCTAGCTCTAGAGGCGTTGGAGTGGGAGCTGAGAGCGTACCTGTACGAGGTCCTAGTTCTGGGGATGCGGGAGTTGGAGCTGAGCCCGTAACTATAGGAGACTCTAGTCTTAGGCGAGCTAGTGTTAGTCGAGCTGTCCCTGGGGGTGCTACGACTGGGGTGCGGGTGCGCCCTCTGCTAAACCTGGAGAGCCTGGGACTGACCGCGTTACTTCTGGTGGTGCTGGCTCTGGGGGTGGTTGTCAGAATGTTATATTCGTCTAGTCTGCAGTGGGGTACTCTGTAGCGAGTATAGCCCAGTTAGGGTTGGCTATTTGTATCCCACATGCTTTTTAGTGCAACCCCTTCTCTCTTGCAAACTTCTCTTTTGTTCAATTCTCTTCCACGAACCCTAAACCCTAGACTATGGCTACTAAGTTCTAGGACCCATCTTAACATGCTATCAGAGCGAGAACGCTCCTGGCCTGTGGGCCCACCTGCTTCCGCTGCTATCCTGCCTGCCTGCCGTGCGCACAACGCGCGCGGCGTTTTTTCTTCCTGCCGTGCGCGGCGGTTTCGTCACCCGTCGGGGCACCCCAGGGGCCCGCGCGCTGCCCCATCCCGTCGCCCATCACGGCGCCCCTGGGGCCCGCGCGCTGCCCTGCCCGTCGCCCGTCGTGGCGCCCCAGGGATCCGCGCGCGACCCCCCGACGCCCGTCGTGGCGCCCCAGGGATGCGCGCGCGGCCCCCCGTCACCCGTCGAGGCGCCCTTGGGGACCAGCGCGCCACCCCCGCTGTCCTACGCGGCGCCCCCGGGGACCCGCGCGCCACCCCTTCACCCCGTGCGCCACGGGACTGCTTCCCCCCCGCCTTTCCCCCCTCTCCTTCCTCTCCCTCCTGCGTGTGCGGCTATGGGGGTGGCGGGTATGGGGGTGGCGGGTGTGTGAGCTGTCCCCCACTCCTCCTCCTCCTCCGTCTCCCACTGCTGCAGCTGCCGCTGAGGGGGGTGGATGTGTGGGAGCCGAGGGAGTGGCGCTAGGGGGGTGTCGTGGGAGTGGAGCTAGGGGTACAACACGGGGTGTGTGAAAGGGGTGTGGGACAGTTGGGGGAGGTTGAGCGGAGGTAGCCGTCGTGACGTCAGCAGCGCCAGTAGTCCGGGGCCCTTGCCACTGGTAGCCCAGCGAGCCTGCTGCGCCAGTCGCCCGTGGGTCCGTTGCTCCTGCCGCTCGTCTTAGCGCGGAGCCAGTTACTCCTGTAGTCCGGGGCCCTTGCCACCGGTAGCCACCGTGCGCGCCGCTCCTGTTGCCCGTGTGTCTGCGGCTTCACCCGACGCCTCCTATCTCCACTCCTCTCACAGTCCCTCCTCCTCCTCACTTGGTCTCTGTGAATGCCTCTAGCTTTGCTTTTGCTTGTGAACTCATTCTATGACTGCTTGCTGTGCTGATTATACCCCACTTTGCCTATGGGGGTGTGTCAGAATGTTATATTTGTCTAGTCTGCAGTGGGGTACTCTGTAGCGAGTATAGCCCAGTTAGGGTTGGCTATTTGTATCCCACATGCAAACTAGTGCAACCCCTTCTCTCTTGCAAACTTCTCCTTTGTTCAATTCTCTTCCAGGAACCCTAAACCCTAGACTATGGCAACTAAGTTCTAGGACCTATCTTAACAGTGGTGCAACTGGTGCTTTGGAGGACTGCCCTGGGGCTACCGTCGCCCCGGGCCCTACTCCTCCCCACACCCCTACCTGACCCGGCACCAGGACTGTCTTCGCCGTGCATGTGAGGAGCAGATGGAGTTGGAGAAAGAGAGACTAGAGTTGGAGCGGTAGCAACAGGAGCTACGGCAGCTGGAGGAGCAGCAGCAGCAGCAGCAGCCGCCGCAGCAGGACCAGCAGCAGCCGCTGCAGGAGGAGGAGGAGGAGGAGCAGCAGCAACAGCAGCCGCCGCCTTCGCCTCTTGTCTCTGGCCTTCGGACCCTTGGTCTCCCCTCTCCTTCTCCTCCCTCCTCCCCCTCTCTTCCTGTCGCTTCCTCCTCCTTACCCCACCACGGCTGTTTTCCCCAATTCTCAGCCTCCGTTGTCCCCTCCTCTTTCTCACACTTGGGCTTCTCGCTCTCCTCGTGCTCGTCCCTCGTCCCCTGTCCCCGTCACTAACCTTCGTACTGTTTTGTTTCATTCTAGTCCGCCTCGTTCGTCTCCGTCTGTGCTTCCTTCTCCTCCTGAGTCGGCCCTCACTGCTTCCCTCTCTAACACCTGTCAAACCTACTACCGCACGTATCGTCCTCTGCTCTCGCGTGTTCTCGCCTCTCTTGTTACACACCCTCGTGCCTCTCTGTCCTGTTTCACCGCCCTTACTGCCGCAGTCACTGAGTTCGCCACTACTCGCCGCCTTGACTACGCCACTCGTGTCGTGGCCGTCAGGGGTGAGTATGCCCTTGGTTGTGACGCCCTAGAGGACAGGCAGTTTGAGCTGGAATTCCTGGCAGCTGCTTCCCCTCATCTCTGTGCTATGTTGCTCGCCCCCGAGGAAAACCCCGACGCCCTTGACATACCGACTCCTCGCACTTACGCTGAGGCAGTGTCAGGGCCTTGGGCCTCTCAGTGGAGAGTTGCCATGGACGCAGAGATGGCCTTCTACAGATCCACAGGCACCTACCTCGACGAGGTTTCCCCCCCCCCCCGGGGCGAACGTAGTCGATGGCATGTGGATCTTCAGGGTGAAGCGGCCACCGGGATCTCCTCCGGTCTTCAAGGCGCGCTATGTGGCTAGAGGTTTCAGTCAGCGCAAGGGAGTTGACTTCTTTCAGATCTTCATGCCTACCTCGAAAATAACCACTCTTCGAGTGTTACTGCACGTAGCAGCACAAAGAGATTACGAGCTACACTCTCTCAACTTCTCCACTGCCTTCTTTCAGTGTAGCCTACACGAGGAGGTCTGGTTGCGTCGTCCCTCTGCCTTCACTTGCACTTTCCCTCAAGGGACCCAGTGGAGGCTGAGGCGACCGGTCTACGGTCTTCGTCAGGCGCCTCGTGAGTGGCACGACACCCTTCGCTCTACCCTGTCTGACCTTGGTTTCCAGCCGTCTTCTGCCGACCCGTCGCTGTTCGTTCGTCGTGGCTCCACACCGTTCTTTGTACTGGTCTACGTCGACGACCTGGTCTTCGCCACTGCTGACAGGGTTGCTTTGGCTGACGTGAAGTCCGAACTGCAGAAGAGACACACGTGCACTGACCTTGGTGAGCTGCGCCACTACCTTGGCCTGCAGGTCACCAGGGACAGAGCCGCTCGCACCATTACACTCTCACAATCACACATGGTGCAGCAGGTCCTTCAGCGGTTTGGGCTTCAGCACTCCGCCGTACAGCGCACACATTTTGCTGTTGACCACAGACTCACTGGTCCCTTTCCTGACAAGCCGTTTGAGCCTAGTGGTCCTTACGCAGAGCTTGTGGGCTGCCTCATGTAGCTGATCACTTGTACTCGCCCGTACCTCCC